TAAGTGTTGGGAATATAAATATATATATATATATATATATATATATATATTATAATGAGAAGCCACGTATACTTTTTAATATGTATATATAGAAAAAAGTTTCAAATTAAAAATTATAATGTTTTTATTTTATGAAAGTATTTATTTATTTTATATATATTTGATATTTCAAATTTCCTCAATTTTTCAAGAAATAACTGTTTGTTACAAATAAATTAAAATTACTGTTTGTTAGCAAGTAGCGTCCTTTAAGATGTCATGTCACGTGATATGGAACGTCACTGTTCCGATATTTCTAACTTAAATCTAACTGTCATAAATATATATATATATATAAGGAATTATCGTGATGTCTAAACGATCACTATTTTATTCTATCCTCTATTACTATACAGATCGTTATTCTCTTCACTATACTATTTCTCTGTTCCGATCACTATTCCGTGGTTACTATTCGAGCGAGTATTATCAAGCACAGTACTATTAGTGCGATTGATATTCGAAGGCGTCTGACACTAGTATTGTTTAACGGCGTTACTATAGTTGTATATGCTATTACAAAGTCTCTACTACAACGAGCATTACGAAAAAGACAACGACTATTCGCTGACAATACAAAAGTGGCAATGAGTGTTCGTTGACATCACAAAACATTTATTGTATCAATCCTCCACTTACATAGAGAATGCAATATTTATGAAGGGTAAAATAGTGAAAAAATGAAACCAGCCCAATACTATTTCTCTATACCGGTCACTATCCGTGGTTACTTTTCGAGCGAGTATTATCGAGCTAGTTTATTAGAGCGATTTGCTATTCGAAGGCGTCTGACATCAGTATTGTTCAACGCCATTACTATAGTTGTATCTGCGATTACTACAACGAACATTACGAAAAACAACGACTATTCGTTGAGGCCAAAAATTGTTGTAGTTTTCATAAATAATAATAATAATTATTATTATTATTATTATTATTTTATTTTTTTTCTTTGATTTATGGCGTTTACATTTCAAACGGGTCCCGACAGGGACCTAAGGTTAGAAATGGCGTCATGACTTTCCACTGACAAGAAAAAGAAAAAAAAAATTAAATTACATAGATAAAGCCCTTGGTAAGGTGTGGGCTGTACTTGCCAGAACAATTTTTTGTATCTCCTTGAGGCATGGACTTCCAGGAATCCTTCAATTAGTCTTTTGCAATTTTTCCAACCAGTCCTAGGGCTCCAACGACAACAGGGATTGTTGATGTTCCCATATGCCACATTTTCGAGCTTTCTATTTGGGGTCCTTGTACTTTGACAACTTTTTTGAATATCTTTAAAGATACATTGCAATCAGCAGGGACTGCCATATAAATAAGGAGGTACCGTTTTTGTTTGAGGTGTTTAATAATTATTATTATTATTATTATTATTATCTTGTCATTCGCGTCAAGTTTTTTTCGGTTTAAAATGGAGATCTTGTATTATAGGTGTTCTCCATAGGGTCATACGACCTCAAGAACATAGCACCTTTCGCAGTATATATGCAAGTAACGTAGACTTCTGAAGCGATGGGATACTAGGCTTTACTCCGATTTTCTTCTTGTAAGACTTAAATTCTATGGTATAGACCCCCAGAGCCCCAAAGATAACTGGGGCAATAGTGGCCTAAAAGACCCACATTCTAACTACTACAATCCGAAGGTCGGTGTACTTGTTAAGGTTTTTCGGTTTAATTCAGTTGTTATTATTATTATTATTATCATTATTATTATTATTATTATAGTTGCTGTTATCTTTATTTATTGTGAAGAGAAAAGGCGGGAAATGAGGGAGTGGTGCTCTTTACCCATAATACGAATGCTCCCTTACACGGATCGTTGACTTCCGGTTTGCCATTGATAAGTGAATTTGTTTGAGTTTTTATTTTCTTCGCTCGAGTAAAATAAACAAACGTAACTTTACAGTGGACTATAAAAAATATTAGATGTCTCTTAGAGGATTGTTTTCTTTTGGTTTATATGTGTGTGTGTTTTCCTTTTTATTTTTCTCTTCTTTTTTTTGTTTCTTTTCATCCGTTTTCTGTATATATCTTCTCGGTTTCTTGATCTCTCTTTTTTTGTTATTATTTGCGAGATTCTGGTGTTCTTCTAAGGACGAAGCCATGTATGTCCCGACAGCCCGGCAAAAGCTCTTAATTATCTTTCAAACGAGGCCCGTTAGCATATTTTAAGAGGCTAATGTCGTTTCTACAGCATGTCTATTGGCCGTGACCTTCTCTCGTCTCACCGACTATATGCACGCTTCTATGCCTATCGATCTGTTTATTTAGTCTTGTTCATATATAACGTTTACTCTCTCTCTCTCTCTCTCTCTCTCTCTCTCTCTCTCTCTCTCTCTCTATATATATATATATATATATATATATATATATGTGGGGGGGTCACTTTTGAGGCGGTGTAATGGTTAGCAAGTTTGTCTCGCTAGAACAATTACGACTAATTAGTGAGTTCAATCCTCACTGGGTGCCCTTACTTTCGGCCTTGTGCCACATCCAAGCTACACATGGAAAATCACTATATGTCTATGTGTGTATGTGTGTAAAGATTATGTTTCACAAAAGTAAAAGCTGTCGATTTAGCTTGTTCATATATGTTTATTACTTCTCTCCCTGTATATATATATATATATATATATATATATATATATATATATATATTTATATATAGAATTAGAATATATATATATATATATATATATATATATATATATATATATATATATATATATATATGTGTGTGTGTTTGCATGAATTTTATATATGTATTACAAAGATTTTGTTTCGCTTCCCCCAAAACTATAACAAAACGGTCAATCAGTGTATTTCTAAAAGACAACGATTTTAAAGCAAGCAGGCTTTGTAACCGCCATACTCAATAGTAAGAAAGGTATGGACACGAACGGCCCGGTCATCACATTCCATTATAAATAGTCCAAAATTGTCTTCGTGTACTTGTAGTTGACAAATTATCTTCCACCCTACAATCCTTTTCCCCACAGACGAAAAGTCACAAGCGTCTCGCCGCTCTATCGCTATTTCCATGGAAAGTGTTCACGCGAACTGCATCCCTTCGTTCCATCAGTTCTAACCTTCACGGCTAAGACCCGCCATGCCACCGCCATTGTAACAAATTCCACTGGAGATATGTTAGTTTCACCCGAGTAGCTCCTTCCAACGAACCGACTCCCGAGAGGGTGCTTCTCCGATTATTACAGTCTTAACTTGTTCAAGTCTAAGGTCAACTGTTATATTTCCTGCATACCCGCATAAACAGTGCCTCTTACTCTGTAACCCGCTACCTCGAGTGGCTCTTGGGCCTTCTACAGAATGAACATTACTGTAAAAAAATTCAAAAGCAAAAAAATAATGAAACGCATTTCTATCTGCTAAACTCTTCTCAAATTGCGAAAATCGAATCTGTTTGTGAAATGTGCGACAACATGCGATGAAAAATGCATTGTTTATAACAACCCCAAGCAAAAATAGCACCGGCAAAAAGAAATTAGCCGGCGTTAACATCATTGTAATAAATAAAGATATTGACACTAACAAAGATAATTAACTTATCACTTGTCACTTATCTGGCCCTACCCTGAGATTCACTGAGATTATATCTACACGTCAGGTATGATGGGGGTGGATGGGGTTCATGAGAATAAAATCAAATTGATTGGGATCAGATTTTAAACCATGAAAAATGGATGAATATTGTTGTGGATTCCGAGACGAATTCGGTCTTCAAGAAATGACAAACGCAATAATTAATTATAAGAAATAAAATGTATTTACACAATCATACAAAGAGTAATACTGTTAGTAATTCCAGGAACGAGGTTAGTAGCAAATACATATAGATATATACAGTCTCGAAGTAGGACTTCCTTAGAGTCTACGTGCTTGTAACTGACTTCTAACACGAGGTTACCTCACACTATCACCGTTCGTATATTCTCTTTCTCTCTCTCTCTCTCTCTCTCTCTCTCTCTCTCTCTGTATATCCTCCCTCCGTATATCATCTCTCACTATCCGACTACTCTGGGTATTTAACGGCAGCACTCCAAGTAACACTGGTAAAGTCCACTTATATGAAAAGGGGTGGACCCCATAAAAATATACATAAATGGTAAATAAATAAACGTAAAAAAAAATAAGTTGAAATTAATTAAAATATAATCCCTAATAGTTTTTCAAACAAATTCAAAAAGTCTAGGTACCAGCGAAGAGCTTCTCCGAATAATTGCCATGAACAGATTTTGGAACGACGATTCTTTTAGCTTTGAATTCTCACCCGACGTTTTTCGTTGGGAGTTTTGACAAATATTGGATCGTTTCTTGGCCTATGGCTGAGATTCGATCAAGGCTTCGACTAGCTTGGACTGGCTCCGGCCTGGACTTGCTAGGACAAGTCATGACCAGCTTTGACTAGGCTCTGACCAGCTTGGACATGCTATGACCAGTTTTGGACCAGTGGCCCTTGAGTGGAAACGCTCGGGTCTCCCACGTTAAACTGACCTTGTGTCATATCTTGACCCCGTGGGAGTCAAGTAAATACCATTATTTTAGCTTTTATTTAAATTCCCGTGGTACCAACATGTCCACCGACTTAGACGTTCCGCTTCGGCACAAATGTTCAGAAATTGATCCAATACTCGCATCTGTCAATGTTGCAAGCTCCCGAGCATTGATACGAGGATTTGCCTGAACTGTTTTCAGTTTGTCATCTTCAATAGTAGGCTAATGTCCACGACCTTTCTTATCTTCAAAGTTTGCTTCAGCATGACGAAATTTCTAATCCAACATTGCACTGTGCATTCGTTAACAGACTTTTCTTCTCATACTTTATTAATGTTTCTAGCAGTTTAGGCTGCACTACAGACAAAGATAATATTCATGAAAGGATATTTGATGAAATTATTTTTTTGGATATCATAGTGAAAAGGTCTGAAATAAATATGTATGCAGTAAGGGAAGAAAATGGATCATTTAGGCAAAAAGTATGTAACATGCTATTGAAAGAATATATACTTTTTTCTTGTTTACAGTATTTTTTTGATTTAAAAAAATAAAAACAAGTTAAAATATACAAAAATAAACCTACATTATTTTCTGAACAACTTAATAAGCGATCCATGCTGGCGAAACTGGTGTGAAGGTTGGCGTTCTATCTAATTCAGACTGGTCATCTATCTATCTATCTATCTATCTATCTATCTATCTATCTATCTATCTATCTATCCCAGTCTGTTCATATCTATCTATCTATCTCAGTGTATTAAAATCTATCTATCTATCTATCTATCTATCTATCTATCTATCTCATCTTGCCATCTATCTCGGACTGGTCATCTATCTATCTATCTATCTATCTATCTATCTATCTATCTATCTGAGTCTGTCTATATTTCTGAGATTAGGTATTATGTACAGTATTTACATTAGTCGGACTATTGTCCTCATCTTTGTCGCCATATTTGTCACGACGTTTCGGTCGTTGTACGCTCCGGCCTTCTTCAGGTGGTTGGAATTTCGAACTGAACCCTTTATTTCGATCACTGGGGTAGACTGTTCTAGTTCCACGTGCCATACTTATACTGACCAATTCCTTATCTAACGTCTCTGGGTCGCCACTTATGACTTTTGCTCGGTGTTGTAAGCAACGGACGGTCCCTTTCTTTACGCTGTGTGGATGGTGGGAGTTGAAATTGAGGTACTGTCCGGTGAATGTTGGTTTACGGTATACGGATGTCTTGAACCCATGCTCTGTTCGAGATATTAGTACATCCAGGAATGGGAGTGAGTTGTTACTCTCTTTCTCCATTTTGAACTGTATCGAAGGCCTTATTGAGTTCACATGATCCAGTAGAACCTGGACATCTTCCTGATGTGGCCAGAGTATGAAGGTGTCATCTACGTACCGTTTTTTCTTCTCGGCTTCGGCTGGGGGTTTTGACAATTAATGGATCGTTTCTTGGCGGAAGACTTGGCTTTTGACTAGCTTGGACTGGCTTCGGCCTGGACCTGTTAGGACAAGTTAGGACCAGCTTTGACTAGGCTCTGACCAGCTTGGACAATCTGACCAATATTTGACCAGTTCAAAGTACTCGGGTCTCCCACGTTAATCCATGATTTAGTATACCTTCTACGTTCTATATAGCCATTTTAGCGATGTAGACTCTAATGCCATTTCTTCAAAGTATTCCATGTATATATTCGCCATTGCTGGTGATAATGGCGAGCCCATTGCTAAGCCCTCATCCTGTCGATATATGTGAGATCCCATTCCGAAGTATGTTGTTTGTGTACAGAAAGTCAACATCTCCACCAGATTATCTATTGGAATACTGGTCCGCTCCTCTAGGGAAGAGTCAAAGGTCAATCTATCTCTGACTACTGAGAGTGCCTCCTCCGTGGGTACCACATCCAAGCTCACCATCTGGTTGGATAGGATGGGAGCATCTTTGATTATTTCCACGAAGTGGGCGGAGTTTCGGACATATGAAGGAGACTTTCCGATCAATGGGTCAATTATATCTACAAGGAAGCGACTCAGAGGGTGGCACACAGAGCCTTGGCAACTAACAATCGGCCTGAGTGGAATACCGTCTTTGTGAATCTTAGGGAGACCGTATATGTGAGGTAGCTTGGTGTAACGCTGCGATAACTGCCTATACGTCTTGGGTGCGAAGCCAAAAACTGGGATAGGCGGGTACAAGAGGAGGAGGAGGAGGACAACAACACTCAGAAAACAGTCTGCCTGCCTTATGTGAAGGGGTTATCAGAGAAAATACAAAGGATATGCGGTCCATATAACATCAGGACAACCTTCAAAAGCGTGACAACACTTCGCAGGTATCTCTCACGAGTGAGACCCCCCACAGAGAGGAACATGACTAAAGACTGTGTGTACGCTATCCCGTGCAGCTGCGGAAAGGAATATAAAGGAGAGACATTCCGCCCCATCAAGGTAAGGCTTCAAGAACACCAGAAAGCTGTAACACGAGGGGAAGTAGAAAAATCAGGCGTGGCTGACCACATATGGAGAGAGAAGGGAGATCACCGCCCCCTGTGGGATCATGTTGAGATCATAGACAGGGAACACCATTGGAAAATTCGTAAACTTAAGGAATCAGCACATATACTAGTGAGCCGACCAAGCATAGAAATAAATACAATATGGGAACCAGTAATAAGGAGTGCCAGAGAAAAGCAATGATAACAAAGTTGTAATATGAACTCTGGTAAAGACATGCAATGATAACAGCAAAAATTGCAATATGAGCACTGGTAAAAATGATGCTGAAAACATTAGGTTTATAATACTCAGAAGTTCATACCCAGATGTCCTCAAGGACACATGGCACAGTTGATAAAGGCGTTGGTTAGATCCAGTGACAGACCCAAAAAAGAAGGTGAGTTCAATTCCTGGTTAAGGCAGTCGAGAACTTTCAGAGGGAAAATTAGCAAAATTTCAGAGGGAAAATTAGAAAATTAACTGACATCCATCAAACATGGCACGTGGAACTAGAACAGTCTACCCCAGTGATCGAAATTCCAACCACCTGAAGAAGGCGCCGAAACGTTGTGACAAATATGGCGACAAAGATGAGGACAATAGTCCGACTAATGTAAATACTGTATCTATCTATCTATCATGATGTAATCCTTGTCAAATAGACACCAGCATACACCAGCTTTACTGCCTTTGTTTACCAAATCGAAGGCCTCCAGGTACAAATGACGACATTGATTCTTAAGGTCTTAAACGACCCCAAAACCCATTCTTTCGTTGCTCAAGTGACGGCGTTTTACAGGCCATGTTGGCCAAACCGGTATGAGGCTTGGCGAGTTATCTATTTCAGCCTAGTCATCTATCTATCTATCTATCTATCTATCCCAGTCTGTTCATATCTATCTATCTATCTATTTATCCCAGTATATTCATATCTATCCCAGTCTATTCATATCTATCTATCTATCTATCTATCTCAGTCTCTTAAAATCAATCTATCTCAGACTTGTCATCTATCTATCTATCTATCTATTTAAGTCTGTTCATATATATCTTTCTATCTCGGCCATCTATCTATCAACACCTATCATCTATCTATCAACACCTTGTCATCTATCTATCTATCTCAATATGGACATCTATCTATCTATCTATCTATCTATCTCAATATGGACATCTATCTATCTATCTATCTATCTATCTATCTTAATATGGACATCTATCTATCTATCTCAATATGGACATCTATCTATCTATCTATCTCAATATGGACATCTAGCTATCTATCTATTTATCTATCTATGTAGCAAACGAAGGTTTGTTATCTTTTATTTTTTAGAAATTCTTCAGTCTAATTTAACGGTTGGAATTAATTTCTTTTCAATTAAACAAAAATAAAAAATGGTCTAAGAAAACTCATCTCAACGGACTTATTTAATCTGTACATCGAGGAGATCGTAAGAGAACTAGAAGTCCTCTCAGGATTTTTACTGGTGGACACAATCAGAAAAAAAGAAATTAAAATAAACAGTTGACACTTTATGGATGACAGACATAGAAATATATATGAAGGGACATCACAGACAATGTACAAAATGAAAAGAGGGAATAAAGTACTATCAACTGTAATAAGATAAAATATTTGATCGTTATAAAAAAAAAGAGACAGCTCAATGTGCAAGCTACGTATTAGATAAATAGTTTCACCTATCGACCTGTTCTTACTCCTCTCTGGCCTTTTGAAAAGAAGTAGAGGTTTATCCCCCTTTCCTATGTAGAATTGTGTTTTTGTTCCTTCTAAAGCCGGCTTCACTTCTGTACTTATAACGTCCCTTCATGAACTCTGAAATTTTATTCACTAAATATTTTTTTCTCCTCAGTCGTCCCATTCCGAAGATTTGTAGCAAAGGAGATGTGGTTCTACAGAAGGATGCTGAGAAATAATAAAATATTAAAATGTATAGAAAAGGAACGTAAGACAAAGATAGCTCTTCTCATCAAACATATACAGCAAAACACTCTTAACAACATAGGAAGCCATATCCGGACTATTTAGTAGTACAGACTGGACAAAATTTGCAACGCGATCTCACGTCGCAAACGGAAGTTTATCTTATTTAGATAAACTAGAAGCTTCAGTTTAATGGAACGGTTAGAGTTTGTGCTTTGTTCAAGTACACAAAAATAAAAAAGGGGTGTAAGGCAAGGATGAATCGTCTTACCGGATCGTAAGAGAACTGTATGTCCTACCAGGATTTAATAGGGATGGATACAAACAAATTCATGGCAAACAGAAGAAATAAATAGAAATAAAACATGAAAAAGCCTAGACAATGCCATAAAGGAAAGCGGGAAGAAAAAAACTAACCATCAATTTTAAGAGGACGGTCTTTAGAAAAAGGAATAGAAGCTATGAATTGGATAAATAGCAGATATAGAATGAAACGGCCGTCCAGTGCTTTCTGAATTCTGTTGAGGTTTCTTCTAGACTCAATGAATTACTTAATTATAATTATCTCAAATCTTCCTAATTTCTATCACTTGTATATCCTTGCTTTAAACGGCTTCTAAGGCTCTGGATGGAGCGGCTTGGGGATGGTAGTCGTGGCTCGTGAGGGCACAGTCCTATGAGTAAAAAGGGAAACTCGAATGAGTTCCACCACGGAATATGTGATCGAGCGGCGCTATATCGGATCTGATTCGCGACCTGTTCGTCACCGAGGCCCTTTGGTACAGTTGGTATGACGTTTTCCTGATAACGTAACTGTCCTGGTTTCAATTCTCGCTAGTGGATGCACACTGCTGATGAGTCCCAAATATAGGACGAAATATATACAAGCTATGAATTGGATAAATAGCATGTATAGAATGAAACGGCCGTCCAGTGCATTCTGTTGAGGTTTCTTTCAGACTCGATGAATTATTTCATTATCTGAAATCCTTCTTAATTTCTTTATATATATATATATATATATATATATATATATTATTTGAACTGTTAGTAACTCTTGATTCATATATATATATACATACATAAACTATGCGTACATATATATGTATATATAATTTGAACTGTTAGTAACTTTTTATATATATATATATATATATATATATATATATACATAAACTATACATACATATATATATATATAATTTGAACTGTTAGTAACTCTTGATTCATATGTATATATATATATATATACATAAACTATACATACATACATATACACACACACACACACACACACATATATATATATATATATTTATATATATGTATATAATTCGAACTGTTAGCAAAACTTGATTTAGTTCGAGAATATATTAGAATATTCCAAATCATATTTTTGAACAAGCCGCCTGCATCCGGAGATAGAAATTGCCCCAAAATAGAAATGGGCGTAAGGCAAGGAGGCATCTACTCACCGGATTAATTTACCCCATACAACAAGGTGACTCCAATATCGCTAGCAGTCATACACGGATTTATTATTGATGGTTGCAATCTTAACAACAGAAGATACGCAGATGACACATTATTGAGAACGGACATAGGGAGGAAATTATAAGTATATCCTAGACAACGTAATAAAGGAACGCAAGAAGAAAGGAATAACTATCAACTGTAAGAAGACAGAAAGTATGTCCGTTAGAAAAATGAATAGACCAAGTGCAGAAATTTATCTGAGGCGTCTTGTAATTTCCGACGAAAGATGCCTTCGAAAAGCTAAGCAAAATAATAGGTAGTAGGAAAATTTGATTGTATACCAAGTTAAGAAAGCGTAGTTGTTATGAATTATCAGCGTGTTGAACAATTTCCTCAGGTGAAGAGGAGACTTGGTACTAAACAGATACTGTTCTGCAGAAGGCTGCTGGGAATAACATGGATAGATTATGCGTACAGGGTGGTAGATTCAGGCAAAGTACAAACGAAAAGGAGACTTTTCCTTTGAATCAGAAGGAAATCGTTAAAATTTCTAGGAGACATAATGAGGAAAGAGGGCTTGGAGAATTCGACACTCATAGAATATCCAGAAGACAAAAGTGACAGACGGAAACAACGAGTAAGATGCTTAACGATCTTGTGTAAATGGATGGCAGAACATGAATTGGGATTCAAAGTAAGGGCACTAACATTGCCTAGAGTTAGAACGGTTAGGAACTCGTGGAGCGCCATGATCGCCCAGAACAGAAATGGAGTATTGCTGCCATTTCCTGGTCGGGGATGAAGAAACATCACTTTCCAGGTGTGAACGAGTCTAAAACCGTTCCAGCGGCCTTGTGATTGATGAATTATTTTAATCGTGTAGTCCCTTTTCAACAGGGGAACATTATGGCTACTCTAGCAATCAAATTCTTCTTCAGTAGTCTGCCAGCCATTTAATCTCACATTCAAACAGCTGCATAATTGCGTGGGAGGGTTTGAGGGAAAGAGAGAGTAAGAGAAAATAGAGACAGAATAGGTTCGTTGACTATGGACGACAATGCGTTGGTCGGCCAAGGGACAGGTGCTCTTAGGGAAAAGACAGGAAATGATGGTCAGTGAAATGCGAGGGTGAATGAAGCTTGGCTTAACGTTCCTTTGAAAAGAGTGCGCACATCATGATTTTTCTTGACTGTTGAAGGCCCTCTGCTCTCGTCGACCTGCTCCTGCTTGTAAAACGCCGTCACTTGAGCAACGAAAGAATGGGTTCGGGGTCCTACGAGACTTTAAGAATCAGTGTTAAGTCATTTGTACCTGGAGGCCTTCGATTCGGTAAACAAAAGCAGGCGAATAAAGCTGATATATGCAGGTGCCTATTTGACAAGGATTACATCATGATAGATAGATAGATAGATAGATAGATAGATAGATAGATAGATAGATAGATAGACTGATTTTAACACACTCAGATAGATAGATAGATAGATAGATAGATAGATAGATAGATAGATAGATAACCAGGCTGATCTATCTATCTATCTATCTATCTATCTATCTATCTATCTAGGTCTGTTCATATCTATCTTTCTATCTAGGCCTTGTCATCTATCTATCTATCTATCTATCTATCTAGCTAGCTAGCTAGATAGATAGATACACGAACACACACATATGCACATAAACAAAGCTAAAAATAATAATGTCCGGCTACTCGATTCCGAACACGCCGGTTTGCTAGGAGGATCAGTTATTAGATAGATAGATAGATAGATAGATAGATAGATAGATAGATAGATAGATAGATAGATGTTAACAGACTGAGATAGATAGATAGATAGATAGATAGATAGATAGATGAAGAGAGATGAGATAGACTGAGATAGATAGATAGATAGATAGATAGATAGATAGATAGATAGATAGATAGATAAAAAAAGATTAGGGTAGATAAATATATAATAAACAGATTGACAAAGATAGATTAATAGATAAAAAAAGTGTGGGATAGATAGATATATAGATAATAAACAGACTGACATAGATAGATAGATAGATAGATAGATAGATAGATAGATAGATAGATAGATAGATAGATAGATAGATAGATAGATGCACACATGAACACACACACATACACATAAACAAAGCTAAAAAATAATGTCCGGCTACTCGATTCCGAACCCGCCGGTTTGCTAGGATGATCAGTTATTAGATAGATAGATAGATAGATAGATAGATAGATAGATAGATAGATAGATAGATAGATAGATATGAACAGACTGCGATAGATAGATAGATAGATAGATAGATAGATAGATAGATAGATAGATAGATTGAAACAGACAGATAGATAAAAAAAGAAAAAAAGATTAGGGTAGATAAATATATTAAACAGACTGACAAAGATAGATTAATAGATAAAAAAGTGTGGGATAGATATATAGATAAGAAACAGACTGACATAGATAGATAGATAGATAGATAGATAGATAGATAGATAGATAGATAGATAATTAACAGTAATTCCCTTGCCACCGAAATTTGGTGCAACCAATTTATCACTGCCAAACATGTTAACCGCACGATTTCTCTTTGTGGTAGATAAATTTAAGCTTAGCAAATAACAATAACACCTACACAAAAAAAAAAGAACTAAAAAGACAAAAAAAGGAAAACAGGAAATGTTTGAGAAGAAAATCTACTTAAAAAAACTTCTGGGGTCATTTAGTAAATACTTATCTTAGTAAAAAATAAAATCGCCTCGATTATCCGGACAAGACTTAACAGAAGTTTGAAAAAATAAGCTTGGAGGATTCAAAATTCCGGATTACTGAATTCTTAAAATATTGAACAAAAAAAAAAAAAAAGACAAGATTCATTTAAAAAAAAAATCTCACATCTGTGGCGTCAAAGAAAATTTTCAAACGATTTGTTCAAATTTTTTATCTCAGTTTATTTTTGTATGAAAAACATGTTTTACAGCTGAATTAAAGTACCGTATAAGCTGGCGTATAAGACGACCCCCAAATTTTCACGTTAAAATGTATTTTTCGGGTTATATTCGCCGTACATGTCGCCCCTACCCACACATACCCCGCCTAATCGTATTTTAAAATGTACTGTATTGAATTTATTAAATAAAAATGACGGGGAGATATTGTCAATTAACTACCACAATCTACAATACCTCATGAGTGGGTGATGGCGTATAAGACGAGCCCCAAAGGTTCACGCTAAGATGTAAGTTTCCGTATATATTCACCGTTCATGACGCCTCGCTCACCGCCAAATCGTATTTTAAATTTACTGTATTGAATTTATTTGAAAGGATTTTTATGGTTAAAATGTCGACTCGTACGCAGACATATACGATAGATGTATGTTTGTTATGGAGTTCACCCCTTTTTCATACAAGTGGACTCGACCAGTGTATAATTTGACTGCTGCCGTTAAATAACCAGAATCAGTCAGAGTAGACAGAGATTGAGATTGTGATTGAGTTGGAGGTAGATTAATAGTGTGAGGTAACCGCTTGTGGAAGTCACAACTACGAACACGTAGACTCTAAGGAAGTCCTACTTCGAGACTGAATTTACCAGACTGTGTATATATATTATTATTGCTACTAACCACGTTTCTGGATTTACTAACCGTATTACCAATTGTATTATTGTGTAAATACATTTATTTGTTATATTTCATTCCTGCGTTTGTCATTCATTGGAAACCGGGTTTCATCTCGGAATCCACAACAATCTTTAGAGATAACTTATGGTTGAAATCGCAAACACCTTGAAATTTTGTCAAACATAATCATTGCTTCAGTATTTGAAACTGGGTATTCAGGCCGCTGAACTTCAACATGGACGATATGATTATCATCCTCCTCCTCTTCAATATTTTCCAACGCGATTATAAGTTTAGCTGATCCCTCGCCATCTTTCGTGTTTCTGCGCAAGGCCGTCTGCATTGAACCACTCATTTATTGCTGAGAGTTGCATAAACCCTAGCCTCTGGCATGACCAAGCTTGAGATAATTTACTTCCACCCCATGTAAGGCAATAACACCACTAAGACACAATGGAGTGTGAGAGAATATGAGAAAAGAAAAACACTATTAATGAGAGAGAGAGAGAGAGAGAGAGAGAGAGAGAGAGAGAGAGAGAGAGAGAGCAATAAAAGAACAAGATAGCGATAGACATTGCATTTGAAATATTTGAGGATGAAACTTGACTGGGAAGCAAGAAGCCGCAAAAGAGAAGAAACTGTTAGCATAGAACTTACGGTTGCATCGAGTAAGTTCAACTCTAACTTTTATATTTAGATTGGCAAATAGAATTATCAAACGCTTTGTTCAGGGTTTTGTCCAGTTTATACAAGGTGCGATGGCAATATTGTCGTCTAAATGACGCAAAAAAAAAATGAAAATAACATTGACATCATGAACAATATTGGGTAAACCGTACGGCAAAGCGGAAAAAGTTTATTTGTCCCGCGAAACATGTCCCAAGTAAACTCTTTTTCGACTTTGTCATACAATTCCTCCCATATATATATATATATATATATATATATATATATATATATATATATATATATAGAAGTTTACATAAAAGACATATCGAAAAATGCTACATAATTGCGGTCGTGTTTCGATGCTAATTTTACACACACATATATATATATCCATGTAAATTTTGCATCGAATTGCAGTCGTGTTTGATGCGAATTTTACATGGTTATATATATATATATATATATATATATGTGTGTGTGTGTGTGTGTGTGTGTGTGTGTGTGTGTGTGTGTGTGTGTGTGTAAAATTGTATCGAAACACGACTGCAATAGCGTAGCGTTTTTGGACATATTTTTATGTAAGATGCTAATATAGAGAGAGAGAGAAAGAGAGAGAGAGAGAAAGAGAGAGAGAGAAAGAGAGAGAGAGGTGTATGTATAATTGTCCGGTTAATGAAATTGAGGAATAAAAAGACAACAAAATTATAACATTAAGATTGATTATATTTATTATATATTAGCCTTCTCACTGAATTGAAGCCCGAAGAGATAGATTTTAAAGTCGGAATTTTCGGACACGACTGTCTCCTTTATCAATGAGAAGAGGAAAAAACAAAGAAATGGGATTCACTCTTCCGAGAAATGTTGCTGTTGTTGGTTAGAGGGTTCTCTGGGTAAACCTAAATCCCTTTTTAATCCTTTAATGTGTGATTTATATGGAAAATGTATTTTAGCTTCTTTCGTCTTAATCATATATATATGTATGTGTGGTGTGTGTGTTTGTGTGGGTGTGTTTGTGTGTAGTATACTGCATTGTTCAAATTTCAGTCGATTCAGTTTTTTTTCACTTCGCGCTTAAGCCCTTGGAAATGACATGGATCTATGTCCCCCACCTATAGGTTAAACAGCAGTTTCTGCCCGGCTCCCTTGCTTTAGTTGTCGGCCCGTGTAAGAGAAAGAAAAGTCTTAGTTTAAACTAAGGACATGTTTGGTGACTTCAGGTAACTCTGAGCAGTATTTTTTCCTTTTATCATACCACTCGTAAAAAAATGTGGTTGATAAATCCATCTTCCTCCAGCAACGCAAGCTTTTTTTTTCTCATCATGATATTGAGTTTTTTTTTTTTAAATAAATATATCAGCCTTACACCGGTGAAGACATGAAAGAACAGAGAGCTGGTTCTATAGAAAGATGCCGTGATTACCATGGACGGAACATATGAGGAATGAGGAAGTTTTAAGTAAAAAAAAACGGAACCAAAAAGGCCATTTCTATTTAGAATCAAAAAGAGGCTGTTGAAGTTACCGGGAGACATAAGGCGGAAAGAAGGCTTAGAGAATTTAACACTCACAGGACGCAGTGAAGGCAAGACAGCCAGAAGGAAACAAAGAATAACCTACCGTAAAAAAAAAAACAATTATTTTAAGAGCTACAAGCGATAGAAAGCTGTGGAGAGCCATGATCGCCCACGACCAGTAGGGAAACACCATATAAGAGAATCCCATGAACAAAATCGTCTGCTCACCATATAGTAAAGATGGTGTTTCCTTGCATGTTTTTTAATATGCGCATCAGTATCGTCTTTAACCATCCCTAGTTCTCATGTTATGACTGGAATGACGGTTGTATTTAAATACCGCATTCTTTCTATTTTCGTTATTATTATTATTATTATTATTATTATTATTGTTGTTGTTGTAAATTCATTCTCTCTTTTTGCATATTAAAATTCCAAAAATTTTTTTAACGTAAGTGCACCTGCTTCCTCCTCTCCATTATGCATCGATTTTTTTTTTTTAATTTAACATTTCTTTCCAAATTTCCATATTTTTTTTTTCTTATTTGGTATTTGGTTATTTTAAATCATTTCCCCTTGCTTCTTTGCAAAGTGAAACTAACAAATGGATTGAACACCTCTTCATTCGACCAGGGCCTTCAGTAAACTTGATACCGGAAGGAAATAGAAAGAAAATCCAAATCAACGAAAAAAATAAATAAAAAAAAATGGAAGAAAACCGATTTTGAATAACGAAATGAATGAATGAAGAAATGAATGGATGTCCGTTCCTATCAGTTTAAAACCTTTTTATCCGCGTATTTTCGAGAATTTAAAATAAACTGAGGAGAAGAATGGCAAACAGACATGAAAAAACAAAAAAAAATCTGTAAATATAGCGAGAAAAACAGTTAATAATAAACTTCCGAAAAAAAAACATATAAAAAGAATGAAAGTAAAAAAAAAAAAATGTAATATCATGAGAACTTTAAAAAATTAACAGAAAAAATGATTTTATTTATTTACGACACTGCGAACATCATATGCAGGACTGCCATTTTATTGGCATTTTAATAAACAAAACTGGAATCACACACACACACACACGCACACACACACACACACACACACACACACATATATATATATATATATATATATATATATATATATATATATATATATATATATATATATATATATATATATATATATATATATATATATATATATATATATATATATATATATATATATATATATACTTGTATATATATATATATATATATATATATATATATATATATACCCACTCTGTATATATATATATATATATATATATATATATATATATATATATATATAAACATACATACAAAGTAGGGAAGCAAACTTTACAATATTTTGAGACTGGAATTGAAAGACCTTTGTAAATTTTGTATATGCATGTATGTATGTATAAATGTAAAGACAATAAGAAGACTGTATTATTAGCTGACGCGTTTCGTCCATTGTGGACTTTTTAAAGGCAAATGCGAAACCAAAAAAATGAAATGAAATTATTGAAAACAAAGTAACTATTAACAACAAACACAATGTCCTTGGCAAATAGAAGAAATTTAGAAAACGTTATTGTATTCATATTGTCATTTTCATTGACTATATGAATACAATAGCTTTTTCTTAATTTCTTAATTTCTTTGTTGCTAGGGACATTTTGTTTGGTGTCAATAGAGAATTTGTTTTCAATAAATTCATTTCGTTTTTGCCTTGAAAAAATCCCCTTTGGACGAAACGCGTCGGCTAATAATACAGTATTCCTAGTGTATTTTACTTTTATACATATTGTCATTTTCTACTGGTTAAATGTGAGAAATTTTTTCATATATATATATATATATATATATATATATATATATATATATATATATATATATAGCTGGCCACTCGTATTCGAGGGTACCTGTCTACTGGGGCAGCTAACCAATCCAGTTAAATCCATCACATTCATTTACGGGCTAATACCCTTAGGAAAGGTATGAATTCTCTTCTTCTCTCCCCACCCAGCTATGGGTATATAGCAGGACAGACCGAGTTCTATAGCCTTGGATGGCAACTGGCCTACAGCAGAAAGAAATGACAACCTACTGCGGGAAAAAAATCTGCCTCGTCAGTCATGTATCAAAAGATACATGATCGCCTAAGCGTGTATCACGCATAACTGACTGATTCTTGGGAAAGGTATGAATCCTCTACTTCTACCCACTTCCTCTGCTATGGGTAAATAGCAGGTCAGACTGGGTTCTATAGCCTTGAATGGCAACTGGTCTACCGCAGAAGGAAATGGCCACCTACTGCAGGAAAAAAATCTGCCTCGTCAGTCGTGTATTGAAAGATACATGATTGCCTAAGCGTGTATCACGCATGGCACATAACTGACTAACCCTTTAATATTATTACAAAATTATTATGAAATGAAACTAGGAGAATATATATATATATATATATATATATATATATATATATATATATATATATATATATATATAATATAGAAATTGAAGTCAAGGCGATAGGCTGTTTCATGCTACACGCAATCGTCAGTTCTGACAATTGCGTCTAGCATGATTTTCACTTTATATTTCAATTTTTCACTTTTATATTTATATTTACATACGCTCTATCCCTGATATTGAGCACTATATCCCATAAATGTAGCACACCTTAAAAATATATTTCTTCATATATTATATATATATATATATATATATATATATATATATATATATATATAGAGTTAGAAATGAATATAGTACAATTCGAACGTTTGTAAAATTGCATTTAAAAGAGGCCTCAATACAGAATAGAGCAATATTGTTTATTTTAGGATATTACACTGAAAACATGTCAAAATCGCTACACATTTGCAGTCTTGTTTCGATGCGTATAAACGCATCTCATCAGTTGATTGTAAATTACTGTCGAGTGAACGATTTATTTACATTTAGAAGCAAAAAACAACCTCTTTTTACGAAAAAATAAAAAGGTGTGATTATAAGGTTTGTGGGCTTTACTCTGATCAACCAATCAAATATGACCTACATTAAATCTAAACTAAGCGAAGAAGTGAAATTAAAAAAAAATATTTTTTATAAATGGGTCATGACTTGTAGATTGGCAGCTAACGGCAGCCAGACAAAAACTAGAGCGGATATAAATGGATACATAAATATACAATCTAGACAATACCATTTCCTAAGAAATAAAAATGGTGTGGAGAGGTAATTTAACAATATGTTAAACAAGTTATATGCTTTGTAAGTTTCTTACATAATTTTTTATTTATTATCGTTGATAAATAGCTTCTTTAAGAAACTAGTAAATACTTTAAACGTATAGAATTATTTGGTA